GTGTATGCGCTCAGCGTGGGGCCAAGTCAGCCGAGCCTCCTGCTAATTGGTCAGCCCGCAGAGAACCCTTGTCTCCTCATTGGTAGCTCCTAGCCGGAGCCATTTTCTAAGCAGGGCTGAGCAGCATTGTGCTGCCGCCCTCCCACCCTCCCTGGAATCTTCTGGGTCTGTTAAAGCCACCCATCCTGCCGTCTCTTTCCCCACCTTTGCTAAGAGAGAGCTTCTGGGATCCTTTTCCCCTGTGCATCTGCTTTTCTGCCCACCCACTGCACACACAGTGCAGATTAGCTCTTTGTTGGTGGTGTAAAAGGCAGGAAGCTTGCTAAGGAGCTGATGAAGCCCAGTTCCTACCACAATGCCCTGCGTCTAGAAGAACAGCCAAGGGGCGGCGGCTTCTCCATGGCTCTTTTAGGCTTTCATGTTTTGGCCTTCTCTGGTGTAGAATCTTCATTCCGCTTATTATTAGTGTGGTACACTGGAAATACGTGAGGCGTTGATATTAGACAGAGCCCACACCTGAATCTGGCAGGCTGCCTTCCAAAGCCTTTGGCAAGTTATTTCCCCATTGTTCCAGTAAATTCTTAACTGTAAAATGGGACCGATGCCATCCCCTTTGCGAGGGACTAGGGAGGGTTCCATAATCAAAATGTATGTTGCTTGGAGAACAGTGTTTGTAGGTAGTACCTCATAGGCATTTACTCACCCGGTAAACATCCCATTCGCTCAGAATAGATACCAGAAACCAGGATGGCTGCAGTGACGCACTAAAAGGGCTCCCACTCTCAGTGCAGAATCCTGTGGGGAAGTTCTTATTATCACTAAATGCAAAAATGCTGTGGCAGCAATTTAAAGAGAAAAACATCCAGGATTCTCCATGTACTTACCACGTGGCTATTCCAGCAGCCATTTCCCCTCTATACTGAATGTAACTCCTCTATCAGTATCTATGCATGTTAACTACAGTCTATGTTGTGGCTGTTAAACTTTATGCTATTATAATTCTCTATGTGAAGGGAGGTAGGTCTGCTATAAAATTATAACTATATATATATATATATATATATATATATATATATATATATATAATTACTTTTGGGACACAGGGTTTGAGATAGCCTTTTAAGTTATCGCTTTCATGTTTCCTAAGATGTTTGGATTCTCTAGCACTAGGATCATTTGAGGAACATGATTAACATAGCCAGGTTTCATGAACTAACATCGGGAAAGTATACACAAAATGGAAAAATAGAGAATGCCAGAGTTGGCACAAGAACTAGGGAGACTGGACAGTGCAGTAAACCTTAAAGTCATTAAAACATAAAGAACCTCCCTGCCACTCGCAGATGACAGGCCCAAGTGTGTTTACAGGTGAGTGCTGTGGCACTCTTGAGGAAAAACAGACTCCTGGCTGTAGTCCGAGTTATCCAAAAAAGACAAAGACTGAGAGCTGCCAAGTTCATTTTATGGTATCGCTACAATCAGAAGCGCGCAGTGTTAAAAGAGAACGAAAATTATAAGCAGCTTCCCTTACTCAAGTAAATGTGCAAAAAAGCTTTTAAAATATTAGCTAATTAAATCTAACTGTCTAACGAATGAGTCATCATTCTGTGTTCTGCCAACACGATTCAGGGCATTACTAAATTAACTTTTCAAACTCATGTTAACTTCAATTAATGTAGAGAAGTATTTGATGTATTCTTTGCTTATTTATGACTGGAAAATAGCGAACCTTTTAGCAAGTGAGTTGAAAGCATTGCTTAATCTCCTTCAATGGAAGATGTTATATTCCATCTCCCTCTGCAAACATCCTTGGTGGAGAAACCTAGAGTACATTCTTCTTCAGATGGAGAACAGTCAGGAATTCTCACCATCATATACCGCTGATGATTACCATAAATTCTGAAGTAAGTGCTGGAAACACAGAGGGGAAAATAATATGCTCAGGGAACAGGTAAGCTGTCAGGTTTTGTACATAGTATGCCCATGGACCCAGAGTAAACAGTTAACGGGCATAAGAGGACATTGAGCATGCAATGACTGTAAGACATGGAAAAGCAAGATGCCATACTTGATAACAAGTTAAAACGTCTGGCATTTAACTCAAACAAGAACAAAGAGGGCTGGGCGGTGGTGGCGCTCTCCTTTTATCCCAGCACACGGGAGGCAAAGCCAGGCAGATCTCTGTGCTTCAAGGCCAGCCTGGTCTACAGAGCGAGATCCAGGGCACAGAGGAGTTGGGCATGCCTGTAATCCCAGCACTCAAATAAATGATGGAGGCAAGAGGCTCTTAATGAAGACCAGTTAGGCTATAATAGACAAACACTTGCAAAACACAAAACCATCGTTTTAAGTATTCACTTAAAACGATGATCTCTGGTTTCACCCATTATTCTTTTTGCAATAATGATGGGGGTGGGGCAGGACTATGATTCCATGGGTAGAACTACTTGCCTACAGTGCAGATCTGATAGCCTGAGTTTGATCCCAGGAGCTCAGTGCAAGGAGCAAACTGTCTCTGGTATGAGTACTCCCACCTACACACCTGTGCTCACCCTAATAGACATCACGCATGCGCACTAGTAATAATTACCTTTCAGACATTTTACTACCATTAAATGGAATCATATGGGTTACGCGTGAGACACAGCAGATGTGTGATATCCAGGACTAGCCTCCGAGACAAACTGTCACCTTCTCCATGAGCTCGGCTGTGCCACTGTCAATTGATCATCACAGCTGGGACTGTTGACTGTTGACATTCCCTCAAGGAAGGTAGGGGAGAGGGCCAGGAAGGTCACGGGACTCTCACCTGAGTATCCAGCCAGGCCTCCCGACCAGCTGCTTGCAATTCTTCCCTAATTACACATGGTCCTGAGGGAGAGACTGAGGTATAAATCTAGGCTGGAAGGCCTAGGGAGGTGAACGCCATCTGTGCCGCCATGAAGGGGTCGACCATCCATGCAGGTGCGGACTCTACAGTGTAGCTGTTCTCGGCCACCTTTTGCTCTTTAAACTAGCCCAATAAACTCATTGGTCCCCCAGAGTGAATTTGGGTGACATTTTACTTTGGTTTGTAGTTGGGCCCTCAGGAGGAAGGGTAGATTTTGTTTATAATTCCCCCAAGGGAAGGGATTTTAGGAGCACTTGCCTTAGCTGGCATTATACGACAAAACGGAGGATGATTTTGGAAAGGGAAATGTTGTTACTCACGTGGGGACTAAGACAAGCTGCTGAAGCTGTGATCCTCAAGGTGGGACATCTGTAGAGTAAATTTGACATGGCTTCCATCCCCCGTGGGACATGCTCCTATGTATGCCTTTGGAGATGGTGACCGGGGCCTGAGTAGCGAGACGCATAACTAAGATGGGCATCTACAGGCGCCCCCCACCCACCCAGGGCAGCAGTTTCCTATGAAGCAGGAAGGGTCCAACTCCTTGATGAGTGGGGTCTGCTAAGTGAATACAAAGCAGCCCTGGGAACAGTTGAAGGGCTAGAGCAGATTTTACAGTCTCCGAGACGAGAATATTGATCGACAATCAGCGGCAGAGGTTGCCTGGTCGTTGCTATGGGTAACAGCAGGTACTTGTGAGGCTAAGATGGTTGCCCAGAGTGACACATGTTTAGGAAGGGATGGTAACAAAAAAAAAAAAAATGGCACATGGCTAGCACCCTCCGTGCTTGTCTCTGAACTGGCAGAAGAACTGAGTAGAAAGGAGAATGAAATGGAGGCGTTGGCTTGCCGCTTCTCACAGCTGGGAGGCTGGAGGGTAATGATACAAATCGGATCCCTATTAACAAGCCCTTCCTGGAACCCCATGGCCTGGATCCCACAGGAGGAGTCAGGTGGCAGAAAGAAAGAGTGAAAACAGGGGGCCAGAAGACACTCAGGTGTGCCCTTTGGTAAAGGGAAAATCCACGCTCCAGAAGTCAGATACTCATCACGGTCCGGCGTAGGAGACGGTGATATCAGAGCAAATTCAGTACCAGAGTTCTAGCACTGGGGAAAGGTTGTAAACAGTGATTAAAGAATCTCGGTTGGCTTATGAGGCCATGGGATGCAGGGGTGGGTGGGATCAGTCTACACGCATCAGAAGCAGAGAAACTGAGCAACGTAACCACACATCCACCCTTGAGACACAGAATTACATACCCTGAGACATTACAGGGAACCAGTCTCTGGTAGACAGGCTGGTCGGAGTCAGAAGAGGTACTTGACCATCACTAGTAAAGGTGCCCATGGATATTAGGGGCTGGAGGACCATAGAGGAGGTAGTGGGTACTGAGGGAACCAGGTATAAGGAAATCAACACATGATGCCCAGTTCACTGGATATGACTGTGTTCACCAGATACTTCATGAGAACTGGATTTAGCAAGGATCCAGAGACTGGCGTGGTACTCTAGAGGCTTTGCTGAGCCCTTTGGCGAGGCAGGATCTTTGTGAAGGATGAGAAGCTCTGGAGGATTGACGAGACATAGACCAGCGTGTAAAGTATGTCTGTGAACTGGGAAAGCAGCCTGGAGGAGATAAGAGAAGGGTGAAGCAGGTGAGGTCTTTCGCAGTTGCTCCGAGGCAAAAGTGGCAAGATTTGTATTGAGCCTGAGTTCCTAAGTTTTTACCTACTTATTTTTATTCCTAAATGTTAAAAAAAAAAAGAAGGAGAAGAAGAAGAAGGAGAAGGAGAAGGAGAAGGAGAAGGAGAAGGAGAAGGAGAAGGAGAAGGAGAAGGAGAAGACATAAAGCCAAATTCTGTGCGAAGGACCTTCTGGGAGGCCTTGAAGCCGGAAGAGAGGTTCACAGAAGGAGTGCCTGATAAAGCAATACAGATACAGAAGACCAAGCCTGTTTCGGGAACGAACAACTATTCCGCCAGACTAAGCCAACTCTTTTCTCTCCCTCGAGAGGTTATGCTAGGGGTGGAGACGGGTTGCCTGGCCAGAGTCTACTCCAGCCAGGGGCCGGGTGTGTGGTGTGTGGAGAGGTAACAACCGCAGCTACAGCCACAGCGCTCTGTCCGCAGAGCCTCTGCAGCTCAGGGACAAAGCCCAAGCAGAGGGCGCAGCACCAGAGAGCAGAGCCTCCATCCCCTTGGCCCTGGACAAGGCTGAGCAGCAGGAGCCAGCCCCCCCCCCCCAGTTCACCAGGGGTGGGGAAAGGCAGGAGGGTCCGTGGGAGAGCTGAAGGAAAGGGAAGTGGAAGGTCCCAGAGACAATGACCCAGGACTGCGGACTGTCAGCTGAAGCTAGGGCCTCTCTTCTCCAGGCTGCTACTGTACCCAACATTGATTTGTGAAGGAGGCAACTGATAGTAATGGCAGGAATCCTCCCACACTGGGTGAGACTTTGTTTATGTTTGACTTTCATATTTTCTCAGCAGCGCACTTCTGTAATCACCTGACATTCACTTGGGGCAATGGCTACTGACTTTCAGAGTGCTCCGGTCAAGGTTATCTGAGTAACCCTGCCATTAGTTTACAGGGGGTGGGGGACTTAGGATTTTGGGGCCATTGTCCTGCCCAGCCTCTGTACACTGTGTTATCTCGACAACATAATGTTAACCCTTGAGTGTTTTGTGGGTTTGGAAGCACACAGGAGAGACACGTGAGTGCATCCTAAAGAGCAAGCATGGGAAATTAGTTCACAAAGGGTTCAAAGGCCAAAGTGTTGGGAGCTTTATGGGTTGGCTGGGCAAGGTACTACCAAGGTGACTGGGAGAAGTGTGCAACAGCCTGAGCCTGTAAATGCTCAAGAGTGAGCAAGGGTTTCCTGTCAGAGTGGAAACAGACTCCCCAGAGCCATAAGGTTAAGAAGAGTCTCAGCACTCGGGGTGGGATACCTCCCTAGGAGTTGCTGGCCACAGAGGCCTTAGGGGCCCCTAAAATAATAAAGTCGACTGCTACTGCTGTTGCTTACAACATGGGACTAGATGGTAAGACTCTGGTGCCCAAGGTGCCACATGTTTGGTTGAGGGATGTGAAGAAATAAAGCTTTGACTGAACTCAAAGTGTCCCCTCCTGCGGTTGTCCTGGAGAATTAAAGGCAAAGTCCTACCCCACTGTGGGCCCCGGGAGCCTCTCAGGAGAAGTGCCATCAAAGAAGATGAATTAGAAGGACCAAGTCTGTCTGGGCCGTTCTCGGGTTGTTAGAAGTAGGTTTCAATGGCAGATTCATTAGGGATTTGTTGATATCTGACAAGCTGTCTTTGCAAATGCTCTTCCTTTCTATTCCTTGGAAAAATCTGGATTGGGCCTGAGACTCTTCTGAAGTTGGGGCCCACAGAACAATTTTAGCTGCACCTGGAGGGGGTCTACTGGCATCTTCCCCTTGGGCCTTACAACGCTTATCCTGAAATGAATTAGAAGTCTTTCAAGCACCTGAGAGGATGCAAACCATACCAGCCATGGGCAGATGGGAGAGGGGAATCAGCTTTTCTGTTTGGCTCGTCTAGTATGCAGCACCTCTACCCAGCAGCCATACACCACACTGTGCTCTTTGGAATCAACTGAGAATAAGGCTGGGGGGGGGGGGAATACCAACACCAAAATTTTATAAGATGTAGTGGTATTTGCTCTGCCCATGACCTTGGGCTATAAAGTCCGAAAGAGGCGGCGCTTCTTGCCTGCGTACATGACCTCTTAAAAGGAAAGGGAGAGGGGTCACGTTCTTCTTGGCATGATCGAACACCAGTTGGCCAGGTGCATTCGCTCCTGGACAGAACAGAGGATGACTTCAGCTGTTTACTTGGTTCTGTGCTCGTGAGTGTGTTTCTCTATTTAATATCTTAATAAATGCCTGATACCCCTCAAGCAGACTCTCCGGGCTTTCTCACATTATCAAGATATGGCAGCCACATATTGGCTAAGACAAGCATTAGGAAAGCTATGAAAATATGACAGTGTCACCTTTCTCTGACATATCTAATGCCCTTGTGACAAAGGATGTCTACTTTTGGTGGGAGGGTACTCACGTGACTCTCCTTGGGTCTACTGCAAGTCTATGAATCTGTTTTGAAGTAACTATATAGAGAGTATTTTTACAAGATGTTCATTTTTCAGTGTTCTCTGAGCCCAGATTACCATTTTTAAATTATTTTATCAGATTTTTTTTAGTAGTCAATAACTGTATGAAAAATGCTCTGTGTTGAATTAGGAAGTCAAAACCTTCACTGTAACTTCAGTTTACTGGGGTTCCCCTTTAAAGAAATGCCAGGCAATTCAGGAACATGGTATCGTGTAGCTTCTACCCAGGCTCCTGGACTAACGCCTTGTTGCTGGCTGTCTTCTCACATTCCCAGAGGATGGTCCATGTCCTCAAATGATAAGAAATATGGAGAAAATGAGGATGGGAAGTGCGGCCTTAATTCATTAGCTTCCTCAGGGACAGGAAAGACTGAACAGGGAGGTTTACCACGAGCAAAGACTCCTTCATCGCCAGACTCTGCCCTTCTGCCCTTCCTGCTCTGACACTGTGGCCGTCTCTAGAGCAGCAGGGACTTCAGTCCTGCATGTGCGTCTCAGGTCAGAGGGAAAAGCACAAAGCGCCAATGTGTGATTCCCGGCCTGAAAGGGACCCATGTCCCCTGCTAAACAACACTCGAGATTTTTTTTTTTTTTAAACGAAGGCATTAAACTGACCTTCTTTTGAAATGAGCCCTAAGGGTAAACAAGGAGAGGTCTTGTTTTCCCTTCATCCTGGAAAAATAACATTTTTCGTTTTCCAGCTCAGTACAGTTGACTGAATTGGAAAGGAATCTTATTTTCTCTGGAAAGATTTATTTGCCCAACAGTTGTGTTTTTGTATGTGTGTATGTGTTGGCAGGAGCCAATAGATTTTCCAGAACAAGGGTTGTCTTGTTCACAGTGTAGTGGGCCCTAAGAACTGGTGAGGGGAGTTAATGCTGGGGAAGCCGGGGGCAGACTTCACAGTTTGTATGAATTCTGAAGCAGGTTGAGCTCTCCTGGACGTAGGGACTGAAAGGTAAGTATTGTGGGTCGAAGGCTGTGTGGTGCTAGCTGACTGGTCGGCAAGTGGCTTCACATACCTGCTTTCTTTGGTCTTCCAACGTGACCATCAAGACCTATTGGGAAGTGTCTGTATTTCTGTTCCAAACAGAGAGATTTATTCCCTTAAAGCTCAGTGTAGAATTTTCTTCTTTACCTACAAACACACTTCTTTTCGCACTCTAGGGTCACCGGTTCCAGGATCAACAGAAGAACAATGTGTCGATTCCGTTCCGGCTGATTCAGAAGAAGACTTAAAGGGGTCACCATGCTTCCCAATTTGCTGCCTTTTTCTCTAGTCAGCTTCTCAAAGGACTTGAGAGAGTTTGGAATAAATATTCCCCTACTTGACATGAAACAGTTTTTACTACTTTCCATTTCCCTGTGTTCTAGACATTCCTATAATAAAAGCTAAAACTTGGTGCTTTGGGATCATTCCATGTACGTTTCTTTGAAGTTCAGTAACCTGTTTCTTGTCAACTCAACCTATTTATTTTAACATAAGAAACCAAACCTATCTTTTAGCCGAAATCCCCTCGCTTTGTTTTCTGTTTCCAAGTCGTTGCTCACTAGGCTCAATCGACAGCTTGGCTTGCTTTTGGACGAGCGACTCGTCACTCAGCTGGTCTTGGCTTTGCCAGGTGTGTCTGGCCAACGTAAAGTGAAGATGTTTTTCCTTTGAGCATGAACGTTAAAACTTTTACCACATTTTCCACTGCCCGTTGTCTGTTTTTAAGGAAGCACAGACCAACAGAAAACAGAGGAATCTGGGAATTCTCCTTTGTAGACATTGGCTGCCAGCCTCTTGGTGCATTTAATTTAGTCAAAACCCACATAATAAAATGAGAGGAAATATAATTTTTCTTTGGCAGCCTGATTTCTATAAGGGGAGCCTGGCCAATGGCGTCTCATCCAAGCTGGCGCTGGAAGATTGGACAGCCCCTCTCCCCGCCCTGTCCTCAGGCCCCAGCCGTGTGCACTCTGGGCCTGGCAGCCCTGAGGCCTGAGCCAACTGTACTGGGACAGCTTCCTGCTTTTCCTACGGCACATTGAGCATCTCCAAATTCATTCCCAATGTGCCCCAAAGCCCATGTAGTTCTGAAATTGTAAACTGCATTGATTTCCTCTGTGTTCTGCATTCCTCTACCTAAAAGCTATTGGGGACTGAATTTGGGCTAAGTGGATTCACACTTCCTTCAAAGTTAGCAAGCGCAGCAAGTTCCTGGAGAATCCAGGAGTCTTTGTGAAAGAAACCCAGTACAGAGTTTGCCTGCCGCCATCCCCCGCCCCACCCCCACCCCGTGTGTGTGTGTGTGTGTGTGTGTGTGTGTGTGTGTGTGTGTGTAGATCTATTTGTTAACTGAGACCAAACCCAGGGCCTCACACGTACTGAATATGTTGTTAACCTTGAGTTGCTTTCCCAGTCCTTTCTCAGTCTAGTCTTCAAATACCTACTCCATCCTTGATGTTGAACAGACATTAATTGGAAATGGTAATCAGGAGGTAAAAGAAACAAGAGAGAAAAACAAAACTTTGCTTGTATACCAGCAAAAAAACAAAAACAAAAAACAAAACAAAACCAAAACAACCCAGAGGTTGCTGCCCCCCCCCACCCCCCGCCACCTGGTCCCAATTTCCAATCTCCATCAAATCTCTGCGTTCTTTCTGAAGGGCTCCCAGTCCACTGGAGCTCCAGTTTTCCTGGCCATGATGCCTTCCGGCAGGGCTAGCTAGTCTATGTTCTTTCTTCCTCCCCCAGCATCCTTTCTCACCCATCCCCAAGGTGCTAAGAAGTTCCCAGGTAGCCACTCTACACAGTCCTATATCCCCATCTCCAGCAAAGGGCCTCAAGAGTTGGGAAAAACAAAACAAAACAGATCCTTCACCAAGAAGCAGGCAGTATCCAGGAGGAAGTGCTGGTGAAGGATTAATGAATCTTGTACTCTAGGTTTCTGAATGAAAGACCAGATGTAAGAGGGAAAAGTAATGTGGAAAGAACTTCACTTAATTGTCAAGGCTGAATTGCCAAGGCTGGCTACTCTAGAGAGGTGCTGTTCATTCTGCTTCTGAATAATGTTAACGCAGTACAATGGCAGATAAGCATGTAGCTTCATAGAATTCCTCTAGCCTCATGTGAGGAGCTGAGCAGGAAGGAGAGCCCCGGGAAAGTTATGGAAGGAAAGAACAAAGACAGGACTGAAGTGTTGTTCCTCAAATGGTAGTGTTCTTTTTCCTGCTGAGGACCTGAGTGGACGGGCATGGGAGTGGTAAGCTATATGGTATAGTGCCCAGGTGAGGGTGAACAGAATTGTATGACATTGTCTTAATTTGTTGATGTGAGTTGGTGTGATGTGAGTCTCCAGTAAAGAATGTAAACTACATATGTTAAAATACTTTACACACCTATGTGTGTGCCAGCAAATTTAGAGTAGATTTTCAGTGTTCACACGCACCTATTAGAGAACGTCTACGGTAAACCATGAAGCATGGTACACAATTCCACACCAAGTCATGATTGTAGTAGAAAGACCTAGAGCATAGTCCGCTCATCAGAAGCCATGTCTGCTTTCTCCACGTGGAGTTCACGAGGCAAAAGGGGCTGAGGCACACTCAGATGGGAGTTCAGTACAAGTTTAGACTCAATCATTTTGTGTTTCTCTGATACCTTGGTTAAGAGAATTAGCAAGAAGATGCTTGGAAAGCCCTTTTATCTGATTTGGTTTGGATCTAGTGCATTTGCTCAGATAGTGAACCTGAGCAAAGAGGCCAAAGCGAAGCAAGCTGGAGATGTCTGTCCTGCACTCTGATTGTACTGAGAGTCTTCTTACACAAAAATGTATGTATCACAGATGTACAGAGTCACCCAACTTCAGGGACTTGACCCCCACTTCCACGTAAGTGACCTCTTCTGCCGAGTCCTTACTTCTCTCTGCCTCAGTTTCTTTTTTATGTAAAATGGAGCTGATCGTAGCTCCTAACTCAGTAGGCCCTTGAGAAGATGGGGTTGGTGTGCAGAAAACACTCCGTGTGTCATGTTAGAGTGTGAACCGTGAATCTGCTGCTTCAGGGCAGGAAGCTGAGAAGGGGGCTCTGTATTAGTGAATCTGTATGTGTCGTCCAACAAGTCATTTTAATTGGTTAACTTACATAGATTCCTAATAATTCATTTTCAGATTAAGGCTATTAATCCTATTATATTTATCTTCTCAGCTGAGGACCAAGGAGAATCATTCATTTGCCTAATGTCACACAACTGACCAGACGCCAACACCTTCGGGGGTCACTGCCTGAGTAAGTTTGCATAACTACCTTGTAAGGACTGGTGAGAGCTCGTTCGGGAAATGGTAAAATGTCTGAGATCACACTCAGATAGAAATGGAAAACCAAACAGGAAGGTATCCTGCAGAGTGCATTAGCTCACAGTCCCCCACCCTGTTTTCAACAGGAAAGTGTGACATGAAATGAAGTGGTTACAGCTAATCTCCAAGCCGAAAGTCCATGGGGATAAGTGGGGGCCTCAGCCAGCAGGTCAGTGGAAGCCAGTGCTTTGCAATTTCTGTGCTGTTCCTGTCAGAACTTTTTCTAAAACAGTTCTAGAAGCCATTTCGCCAACCTATCAAGTATTAAACATATCCACATTTGCTTAAGTGAGAAGTGATTTTTCTCCTTCAAGCTCTTTCCAAAGCAGGCGTTTTGCATTTTCTCGTGTGAGGCGTTTTGACAAGCCTGGACTGCTGGGAGTTGGCTCTTAACATCTCGTTATTGATCACAGTGCTTGCGGTGGGTGGAGAGGTGGGAGGTGATCCTCTGTTGGGATGCCTCCAGTCTGGAGGCTTAGCCTTCATTTGGAGATGAGGAAAGGGCACAGACAGGTCAGTTGAGGTACATGTGTTCTCCAGCCTGCTAACTGGGGCACCAGCCTTCAAACCTAGGATTGTTTGGCTCCAAAGTCCATTTTTTTCCTGAGTTGACTGAAGACAGACCAGACTAAATCTGATTGAAGGTCAGGGTGATTTGCTACAAGACTCTAATTATTCATTTACACTTTTGTCAAAAAAGGTTGAAGTTCAGGCCCATCCAAATCGGTGCCAGACAGATGAATTAAAGCTCAAACAAGAACAGATCCTGAAAGAAGATCGGCCATATCTGGCTGATTCACTACACACTTAAGCTATTCAAAGACATTTGCAGACCCTAATCTTTTAAACCACCAATCCTCCTGACTTACGCAGTAAAGGGAATGCTTTGTTCTCACGCCAGATAGCCTCCCCGGGGTTTACTCTGGGCTGGGACGAATCAGCTCCCTTTTTCTCCACTTCCGAAGTCCTGTCAGGATGCACGTAGATCATGGGAGGTTACCAGAGCCGTAACCTGAAGTCCTCACTTATTTGTGTGGAACAGTCCAGTGTCTGCCACCATCAGCATTATCCACAGTACAGTGCTGTCCATCAGTATCTACATTAAACCGTATGTAAGACATCTGAGAGCTGGAAACCCAGAGGATGCAGGCGTAGGGGACAGATTCCCATGCGCAAGGACAAGCAGTTGTACTTTCACTTTGCTGTTTTATCCCGTATTTTGTGGTGCTTCTTTCTGAACTCCATGTTTCTCAGCAGAACAAGCTCACCTCGGGTTAGCCACACGACACTCTGAGAACCTCCTTGGCCCTTCACTGTTTCCTATGTTCACCTCACTCCACCTTGAGCTCAGATCGTCATGGCTGTCTTCCCACAGGATTATCTGTCAAAGGGTCTCCCTGACTCCTTTCTCTTTATAATCTTAGCATTGGGGTAATTCTGGGAGCCTCTCCCCTGATACAGCTTATGGCAACAGAATTATAAACAGCTACTCAGACCCAATGCAAGCTCTTTATCCATGCCTTTGATAGACTTAGCCTCCTGATCCAGACAAGCCTCCAGACAAGATAGAATAATGATGGGTACTTGCAACACCCTCTGCTTACCCACTTTCGTCCTTTGAAAATACTTTTTATTCTTTGAGAATTTTATACATGCATACAATGTATATTGATCATATTTATCCACCACTCCTTCCAGATCCACCCCACCCCCAACCCATTCCCAATCTTGTGCTCCCCACCCTCTTTTATATAGCCCATTGATTGCAGGTTGTGCTGTCTGTATACTTATGGGTAGTGTAACCATCCACTGGAACATGGTCAACCTACCTGAAGTCCCACCCTTAAAGGAAATTGAGTCTTCCTTTCCCAGAAGCTACCAATTGTCAGTAGTTCCTCAGTTACTGGTGGGGCTTTCAAAACCCTTCACCCTCCATGCTGGATATTGACTGGCTTGATTTCATGCAGATCTAGTGTAGGCAACCACAGATGATGTACATTCATGAGTGCAGTAGTCTTTTCCTATTCAAAAGACACCACTTTGGGCCAATTTTCTCCAACCTCTGGCT